CTAACGAATTACTGGGAAACATATTCACTGATCTGCACTTTCCACTTGCTCTCCACTCTTGATTTTATAGGTTCGCGAAGCTGCCTGTGCCTCAATTGCAGAAAGTGTGTCTAAGTTAGACTCTGCACTTCTGTTGCCTCATATTGGTAAATTGTTGGAGGCTTTGTTCATCTGCTTCGACGATGATAGCTGGCCGGTACGAGACGCAGCCTGTACAGCTCTTGGCACTCTGATCTCTGTGCTCCCCGACGCCACCAAACAGTGCGGATATCCGGATTTGATGGCTGATCGGTTTTTACGCAACCTGTCCGACAGCATTCCTTCAGTTCGGGATGGCGCGGCCTATTCAATTGCACGAATTTTGAATTCAACTAATGATCCTGAATTAGTTCAGGTGATTTGAGAACTACAACACCATATAGCGTTTGTTTTTTTGACTGTATGCAAGTCTTGGTAGAGACAGCCGTTGGTTGTGTAATAAAGTGCAGTGGTTCTCGCTCTCTATCCACTCAACGCGAATAAGAAACGAAGAGAGGTAGGCTACTTCATTAGTTGCCATTTCTTTAAAAGAGAAGGGTACCTCACCTAATCTAGGCGTCTGATGGTTGAGATCCAGGTCGACAAAGATAAATCAAAGTAAAAGATTCAACCAGCCGGCGAGCTGACTAACCGATTTCAATGTGCGAGTTTTAGAAAGTCAAACTCGTTTGTCTGATCGCGTAGCAACTGGGTTGTTATATCCAAACAATTTAATTTTTTAAGCAATGTCTCTCATTGAGAGTGACTGGATTTGTTTCTCACTTCAACAATCATGAGTGGTTGATCGGTTATCCACCCTTCAGTTTTCGACTTTACCATTTTAAAGTCTTGGAGTTTCACACAAACTCATAAATTCGATTTGATCTTTCCATTTGAAAACAATGCCCGGGCCGATTTAGGTTTCAATAGACTTCCATCATGTACAACGTGGACTTTTCAGTTAATTTGCTTGTGATTTCGGGCCATATTTCATCATCAATGCAGTTGATTTTGCCAGTTTGGGCGGTGATGTCACCTCGGCTGGTGATGAAACGTTTGCCAAGCTCGGCGAACAGGTGAAATGGTTCCTGTTAATGTCATCAGTTTTTACCTCTTTCGGCCCACAATAAACACCCGCCACCAAAAACAGAGTTGTCATGGCCTATATGAACCATGTATGTAAATCATGTAAAATGAAGCAGGTACACGAACAATACATATTGTTATCACCTGAGCAAATACGATGTACTGTAATCACAGATCGCATGTGTTTCCATTGTTCGATGTTCTTTATTGTCGATTCGCGTGCTCAGACAGCTGTACCTCAACAATAAGTGCAACTTTTCGTTTTGATCGACTTGTCCAAATATTTATTTACCATTTCAGATGTACACAAAATACATTGTAGAGAAACTAGCCGGCGTTGCGGATCAACCAGCGGAATCACTCGGTTCCGAATCTGCTCGTCCTCATTCGAAGGGCCCTGGAGTTTCGCATGTGGTCTCCCGAAGCGGTTCTGCTGCTCATGATGAGCGACACACAAATCAGACCATGTATTCATGCTGTTCATTGGCGCCTAAATTACTAAAAGGTACGCCCGCTTGATTCGTGCATATATATATATATATATATCAACTGCTTGCGATCAAGTTTGATGCCAACGCAACACCAGGAATAGCAGAACGGGGGGGGGTAGGATACAAAGCAGTGTAAAAGGGGTCAAATAGTTACGTTGAGTAACGAGAAGAACAATTTTGTTTGTTTGTTTCACCATACACTTGTTATTTTCGTGTTAGTTTATTGATTTTCATGGGGCACGGGATTTCAACAGAATTCGCTCCGCCGACTGCTATTCTGGGTCATGTTTCTCAGCGTCCCTAACCAACGACAATCCTCATCCCTTGTGCCCCAATCTAAAAGGCGGGCTGCACTAACGGAAGCCAAAGCTGAAACCAGCTTCTTCCTACCTCTACGCCATGTCATGCTGTAATCGCCGCGGTGCTTCTTCCAGCGTTGCCCGGCATGAGCTAAGAAAACACGGAAAGATAGCCGATGGGCAGGCATACGCAATACGTGACCAAGCCAACGGAGGCGGCATAGAGCGATTACTTCTGTTAGAGAGCGACCATCCAACACACGACGATGAACCTCGTCACTGCTCACCCGATATTCCCACCAGACACGGGAAATGTTTCTTAGACATCGCTGGTCGAATACAGAAAGTCTATTAGCATCCTTAACGCCTAGGGTTCAGGTCTCGCAACCGTAAATTACGAAGCGCGGCAATGTACTTCCTTCCATTAAGGGACAGTCGGACGTCATGGCGGCGCCACAGGTATCCCATGTTGGCAAAAGCGGGTGTTTGTGTTGTGCTCTCCTCCTCAACACCAACACCAGTTGCGATCATGCTCCCGAAGTACTTAAGGCATTCAACCGCTTCCAGCTGATCAACGCAGAGGGCGAGTGCAGGCACGGACTCTTGCCAGTCTTGAACAAGCAGTTTGCACTTAGATGATGCAAAGCACTTACCATACCTGGATGCCTCTATCGCCAAGCCATTTAACGCGTCTTGGACTGCCTGTGTGTTGTCACCCAGCAAGGCAATGTCACTGACGCTGTTCCCTGGGAGGAGTTCGAATACACCGCTTGCTAGGCCGGATAGAGCATTCTGTGGAGCATCCTCTACGACAAAGTTGAAAAGGAATGGGGATATAGGGCAGCCTGGTCGAACTCCACTGGGGTCGGTGAAGGTTGGCGAAAGCGGGCCTTGGGCGCAACCCGACCTGAGGTGTGTCAATACATCATCATCGTACAGCGAGATACAGTGAAGCAAACTTCACTGATCGCTGCCAAGCCTACAATGTGCACAAATCAATTGATAATGCACAAGATGGTGAGGGATTTGGTGTTTCGAAGGCCGCGCTGATATCTAAGAACACAATGATTGTTGGTCTTTGGTAGGCATGATGGTGCTCAAGCAGCTGTCAAAGGGTGAAGGTTTGATCGATGCATCCACGACCGGCACGAAACCCAGCCTGCTCCTTGCGGGCATGTTCCTCACGCGTATTGTACAATCGGCGGAGAATGACGGACATGAGATTTGTTGTTCTCATGACGCATTTGCTTCGTGCTGGTTTTCCAATATTTAATCCAGAGATAACGTTCGAGTTCATTTCTCCCTACGCGACTGGAATGGGTTTATCATCAAATGTCACATTCTTGCGTTCGATTCACACACCGATATGGTGAATAGATGAAAAACAGTATCTCAACTGTGACTTGGAAGACGTCTTTCTATTAGGTTTATATTTTATTTCTTGTAATTGTAGGCCGTAAAGGTGGGGGTTGCCACGATGGGCTCTATCAACGATTGAGTGAACCATGGGAGCGTGCAGACGGAGCCGTTCGTTTGGTCGGACAGTTGGCCGAATGTGCTACCAAATACTTTTCCGATTCTATGGTCGATCAGATTGTCGAAGCTACCTCAAAGACCCACTACACTCACTATCCTTATTTGCTAGAAACTGGTAAGTAATGTAATTATACGAATAATCAGCTTGGTATCTAAAGAGGCAATTTCCAGCAATCGCATCACGATTGATGTTCAGTTGTGTTTTTACAACCATCAAAACATGCGCTTTCCTGTGGTGGTTTTGGTTACCCTCTTTTGGTTGTCCATTTGTATGAAGGAGTAGGGAGAAGATTTGAATATTGAAAGCCTAGTCAAACTAAAACTCTACATCGAACCTTGGCATTGCTGGCCCCTTGTCCTGTCATGCAGTGCTACGTAGATAGCAGTGTTGGAACACCGACGGTCTATCCTTTTCATCGACACAAGAATATATGTGAGCAGAATTAATATTGGTCATCCATTTCGTGTGCTGTCATTTAGTGGTAAACGCACATTTATATGATATAAAGCACAGAAACAGAGTTAGAATGAGTCATTTGCACAAGGTGGTGGGCAAGTGAGTTGCGTGATTTTTGTTTAGTTAGCGATTCAGGTCAAAATTTGCTTTCGAAGTGAACTGGTCCAAGCAATGTGGTGGAGGAAGGGGGAGATAGGCAAAACAAGCTGTTTTTCAATTATTTCATCAACTAGCCAGTGCGATTATTTAGGGTTATTTGGGTTCGTCGATATGGTTTTGATCGCATCAAACAAAGTACAGAATGTATGCTAACTTTGTTTGAACAATCCTAGCTTACTTTTTGTACTTATTTGGATGCGATCAAAACCAGATAGATGATCCCAAATAACCCTATATAATCGCAATGGCCAGTAAATAAATATATCGAAAATCAGCTGGCTTTGCCTACTGGACTTTGTTTTCAATATGGCAATGGGCATTTTTTGAATAGAAAAGGAATGGGGGGGGGTGTGGGAACCCTGACGAACACTGCTATCCGTGGCAAACTCGGGCGAAAAAGTGTTGAACGCTCGGACTCGGTTACGGCCATTAGTATAAAGGTATCGTAAAATTGTAATAAAGTTCTCGTGCACATCGTTCAGAGAAAGCAACTCCAGAGTTTAACGCGGTCGACCAAGTTGAAAGCCACTATCAGATCAAGACTGAAAAGGTGAGTCTACGGAAGGAATGTACGTGTTCCCGCCTCGTCAAAGTTTACATAAATGTTCCTCATCACATACCATTATTTGGGTCTTTATCCATCCACGTTTGTCCAGATTTCTCGTGTAACAAGAGGAAACTCGTTTCAGCTGCAACTTCTGTTTTCGGTTACGTATAACTGGATCTATCCATGAACCATTCGAGACAAAAGCTTGACCCTGCCCCAAACCATGTATATGAATACCGGTTCAACAGCGAACTGAAAATGAATAACTTTCGGTCTTGTGCGTTTGCCCGTGAATTCATTAAACTAACTATTGTATCAACTGGACCACCAATCGCCGCTCATGGCAAGCTGCTAAACAGAATCGCACAGACTCCCCTCTCAGAAGTATTTCTAGTTGCTTAATAGAAAAAGAAAGTCAGTTGCTTTCTTGTAAAAAAACATCCTGTGTACAGTAGTGCTTTCAAAGTCTCCCTTGGAGGACAGTGGTAGAGGTCAAACCTTTTCCCACCTATTTGTCATGTTTTGATTGTTGGAAGACCATGGTTTTACGTCATACGTCTAACATTTTGCACTCTTTCATGCTAATCCTCTTGTACATTTTGCAACTAATATTCTCCTCCCATATATTATAGCTTGCGGGATCNACGGATTAGAAAAGGCACGTTTCAAGCGACATTTGGACAACCTACTGATCGTCTTAACCGGAGCCATTGAGAGCCAGCTTCCGTTAGCGGTGGCTGCCGCGGAAGAATCCTTGTCCTTGTTGGCCCTTCGAATAGGACCGAACGTGCTTCGTGGTCGTGTGGAAAACCATATGGATTCACGCGTGGCACGAACTCTGATTCGTGCTCTCCCGCAGGCCGATTAAGCTAACTCTATCTGGCACGAGGTGTGGATACCCGCAGCAACTACGCTTCCTCTTTATAAACACTTCTATCTGCACATCACTTAGCATTCGCTTACTNGCTTACTCGAGTGATCATTTTTTCGCGTGATGTTCTTTCTTTGTATCACTGTCCTGTTCGGTCCTTCAGTTTTCTTACGTATAACATGATACGTTTCGGACCGGATCGTCAGAGAGTCGCTCAGTTTTGAATCTACGCACTCTCCGTGCCACTCAAACCGCGATTTGAAACCTTCATGTTTCGTCCACTACAACGACGTGTTATATCACAGCCATTCTTCTTTCCCTTTTCTTGGCTTCTCAAAGCATCGCGTGCTATATCTCACAGCATTTTTATGTCAACGCTCGGTGCCAATTTGTTGTTGAAGAAATCAGGTCATCATATCTCGTCGTTGTTTGGATTCACTTTCCTCTTCTGTATCATGTTCTTAGGTGGAAAACTTCACTGTAATCGAATTGTACAGCGCGTGGTATAGATGATGTTACAACTTCGGAATAACAGCATCTGTCATTTATGACGAAGTCCACCTTCGCGCACATTTAGGCTTTACGCATCGACCTTGTTGCTCACTTGTGTACTGTGGAAAGTTACGATCATCTATTTCAAGCGAAGTAATCGAAGGACTTATACACATCTAATTCATTTCTCAGATGTTTGCAATGGGTTAAACTAAAGTAGCACTAGAGCGACTGCAATTTTCAAGTCCCGGGAAACTGAAAATTAGTAATTTAGACTACTTTTCGAATTAGTGAGTTGCACATGTATTAGGTGCTTGTTGCGGCACGTAAACCAACTGCGTAAACGCATGAATGAGACGCTTGCTAGTCCGTCGGCAATTAACTGCTCCACTTATTGTTGGACCCGTTCGAAAACCCGACAGCCGTTGATGTGAGTGAACGATTGCTGACACCACCAAGGTAATATGACGAAGAGCAGTGAAGGTTAAGCTGCTCAAGGCAGCCAGTGCAAAGGCAAGTATGCACATATGACGGGGGAGGTGCGGTGGCCGAGCGGAGAAACCCAGTCATGTGCGTACACACACACACACCTGTCACGGCTGAATAACAAGCCCCTCGCACACTGACTAAGTGAATGCGGACAGACATAGGTAAGGCAGCATGCGCATTGTTCTTCGTGTATTTCTAGTCCAAGTTGGTTGTCTTGCCTGATCATTGTGTCAAGTGAGCTCGGCCAATACAGTTGTCGGACTATTGTGTTCTTGTGACTTCCACCAACGTAGCAAGGGATATAGCCATGCTGATAACTGTATAGGTCACGAAGGAAATGCGTTTCTATTAGGTGAATAGATTTGCACGACTCAAGTAAAACGAAATTAAATTCCAATGATCAATACACAATTTACGCGGTCAAGCTGTCCAAGCAATTTGGCCTAATAAATTGACAAGGACATCACAGATAGTGGTTCGGTATCACTTAGTATTTTATCGCTGGTCGAACGGATCCAGACCCAGGAAACGAGAGATATTCATTCTATCTAACCTCAATGTGGTTCTTTATGGACAACCTTTGAGTTTACTTCCAAGTGGTTGTTTCCACTCTGAAGTAGTGGTGGACGATTACCAGGCATACATAACCCGACCTGACTCGTGAAGCGTTCTTATTCGAATCCATGATGGTGATGAATCTTTCGCCGGGACGTCGAAAAGACTATTGACATTGTTGCTATTACTCCGGTTTCCACGTCTAGTGTTCGTCAATAGACCGACAGTCCGCTTTCCTCACAGCTGACCGGCAAGGTAATGGACACGTGTCTATTGTTTGGTGTATCCAATATATCCACATGAATCGGGCCTGTCGCTGCTGAGCGGACAATGAACAGGAACGAATGGAATTGCGGTGTTAACTTTCACGTACTTGTCCCTATTAGTTGAGAGGTTAAAGCGTATACACTGAAAGGTGAACGAGTTGCTGTTCTCGTGGTGAACCGACAAAAATTCCAAACAGACAGTGGAACGAGAATGCACAAAAATGTAGATTGCAGTGAAGACAAGAAAACCGGCATCCACAAAAAGCAACTGACAAAATACGGCCAAAAACTGAACGATTGTCAGGCATTCATAATAAATAGACAGGCGAAATGTAACGACGATTGTGTGAGCAGGAAGATTGATCGGCAAATATCAGCCGAACACAAACATCGACAGACTGAAGTAAGCGAAATGTGCTTACACACCGAACGAGTAGATGGGTTTGCACAAAACAGGTGAGTAAGGAAGTGAGAGGGCGCCGGTGGCCGAATGAGATACAAAGTGGGCAGGCAAGATCATGAAATGAGTTCGAGAGCCAATACCGGAATGGACAGTAAAAGAAACGAGAATGGCCGGTGACCGTTAAGACGTAGTTGGAGGAAAGAAAGAATTGGACCAGGAAGTGTGTGTGGGAGAGAATGACTTGATTGATACGAACAGCCGTAATTACCGTTAGTGAGCGAAATATACAATCGGTGTGGGAAGGCTGAAACGCATGGAAGATGTGCGATCAAGTAAAGCGGATACAAACTTAAAAAACAAGGAATATTCGATAAATACACGTACAGGAAAACGGAGTTCGAAGAGAATGACTGTTTTGGATGAAAGATGAATGGTATGAGTGCTGTGCGCTCGGGGATAAAGCTCAATGCAAAAAGAAAAGAACCAATAGTCACATACCACAAAAAAAATGACTAGTTCGGTGGGCGAGTAGAAAACATTAGATATTCGGGACAACGACAAATCACACAAAGATCTGGCGGGCTAATTTCCGATCAGGGATCAGTGCAATAAATTTGTCTCATGTGGTTCCGTCAAAGCGGGTCTCAAATTACCGTTCGCATGTGGCGAGTCTGGAATGGGAACAACTTGGTGGTCGGACACTGTATCGCAATCCGAATCAGAGGGCGCCATGAGTCTTGCGGCTAACGTGTCCGGTGGTCGCGGTACTGTTTGAGATTTATTGGAGTTTGATTGTCCGAGAAGGGGATTCGTTTCCACATGCATGTTACACTCCTCATCCTCGTCCAACCCCTGATCAGACAGTAACGCGACAGTGGTTGGATTATAGTTGGGCAACGGATGACGTCGGTGCGAATCTCGTCGACCGGGTTGACCCAAATATCGAACTGTATTGCCTAAACCGACGAAAAAAATAAGACCACATGAGACTGAGCTAGCACAACAGCAAGAAACACCATTGCACATATAAGAGATCATGGGATTAATGGAAATAACCGATTGTGAAACAATACCAATAGAAAAATTGTCTATGATCTGTAGACAGCTGAATTGTACAGAATGAGATATGCCAGAAAGGAACCGAGAAATTACATATATAGCGTAGAGTGGAAGAACCTCGGCCGATTATTGGACAAGAAGAGCACAGTGCGAATGAGAAGGATATCAGTGTCATTGTCCAAGGTGAGCTGAATTGTTCTTTAAACTGCTCTCAGACGTCCACCGCTGTAAGGTTGGTTTGTTAAAGCGAGTGTTTGGCAAGTTTGAGTCTACGATGTTTCCACGGTTGTTACCAGCCTACATTCGGCCCCACGTGGAGTATGCAATTCAAACGTGAAATCCATAGCTGCAACGCAATAGGAAGATTTTGGAACGTCCACCAAGATGGTCAAGGGACCGCATTCCAAGAGTTACGCGGAAAGACGAGTCACTGCAACGGTACTCCACACAGTATCGCCGCATTCAAGGGGACTTGGTCTTCGTGTATCAAATAATACAGGACCCAAATCACCCGTGTCGTTCATTCTTTGCCTTGTAGCCTAATGCACACCTGAGGGGGCACTCATTTAAATTAGTGCTCCAGAAATGACGACTAGAATTCCGGCTTCATTCATTTGCCCTCAGTGTACACTATTTAGTATTCCCTACCACCACACGTTTCTCCGTCCACAATTGATTCCTTCAAGCACAAACTAGATGAAGCTTTGGCAAGTCTTAAAATTTCAACATCCGAAACAAGGATAAATTGTGACATTCGTCTACTTTCTATGAAACGCGAATCGATTCATCTGTGCTAAATCCTATGGGCCTCGGTTTTTGATGAGGGTGCTTGAACTGTTCGTTTTATTTTTCTTGACTATACTAAGGCCTTTGGTTCGCTTAACCATCGAATGCTCATTCAACGTCTTGCTGCGACGTGGTAAACGTTCTCGTAAACTACTTCTTAATTAGGACGCGATTTACTTCGTGAAAAGTTGGTGGGGACAAGCAGGGCGTTTATGTATAGGGAGAAAAAGAAGGGAAAGACGACGGAGTTAACGTAAGAAGAGGACGAAGTTTTGCCACTGCACTACGTCCTAAATAAGAAGTGGTTTACGAGAACGTTTAACACGTCGCAGCAAGATGTTGAATGAGCATGTGATGGTCAAGCGGACCAAAGGCATAGGCATGGTCAAGAAAAATAAAACGAACAGTTCCAGCACTCATCAAAAACCGAGACCACAGAATGGACAACATACGCGATAGCGTCAACAGTCAAAAGGGACTTCTTATAAGCAAACTGAAGAGGATCAAGAACATCAGAGAGGGTAGTCAAACGGTTCAACAGCACTCTTTCAAGGGCTTTCAACAAGACTGACGTATATGCAATCGGTTGATATTTTGAAGAACCCCT